CCCCAAAACCCCAAAACCCCAAAACCCCAAAACCCCAAAACCCCTTTTCCACTTAAAATCATTGCTAGTATAATTTTCCTTCGAATACAACCCGATGCCTAAACTGTGCTCCTATTAGAGTCTAAGAGACAACTTAAAATTGCAAGAACTCTTGCTCGCTATATACACCCTCAAGCCTTGTTGCCCAGTTCTGGTTAAGAAATATCAAATCTTGTTCAAACCATAAATTGAAGGTTAAGAAATTGGAAGTACAGTCTTGCTAGACCTTGCCTTATAAGTATGCTTCGAATTCTGAAATCTCTCCTTTCTTTCTTGAATAACTTTCTTACTCTCAGCTGGTGGAGAAAGCCCACGCTTCTTTTGTGAAGGAGGCTTCCCTTGAGACCCATTGCCTTGCTTAGGATTTGATCCAGGTTTAGAGTCAGCAAGGTAAAGAATCGAGGAAGCTTCATGATTCTGAGATGAGTTTATTATCTTAGCAAGCTTTCTTGAGTAATCATTCGCTTTCTTTATCTTTTTGAATAAATCATGGTAGTTTTCATGGACTTCTTCCATCCATGAACTGAGATCTTCGATGATTTCTGTGCTCTGATCAAGACCTTTCACGCTAAAATCGTGACCTTGCCTCTTAAACCGAGAAAGCTTTGAGATAAGAGTTAGAAGAAGTTCTGATCGCTTATCTTTGTTAATATTAGCCTTCCGATAGACTGTTAGAAGGAGGTAACTCTGTACAATTTTCATTGCATCATTGTTTAGCCGCTTACGGCGAGTGATATCCTCATATACGATTTGTTCCTTCATTGTAAATTCACTGGCTTTCATTAGAGCAACAGTAAACATTGAAATAATGAAAACACCCCATACACAACTTATGATACATACTGCACGTCCAAAATAAGTAACTGGGTACATATCTCCAAAGCCGATTGTAGTCATTGTGATGATGATCAAATAAAAATTGAAGTCGCCATCTGCTTCAAAAAGCCTAATTGAAATTCCTAAGACTAACACAGAGATTCCTAGTCCTAGAATTAAGACTGGGTAAGGCTTGTCCTTAAGGTAGCACTTTATCGCAAATAAAGAGTTAGCCTTTACTCCCGTCATGCTAGCAACCCTGATCGCTCTATCTGAAGTCCAGAAAGATATATGATGCAGCACTGGAAAAATCAAATAGAATCTAAATATTGATATCGCTGTTGTAACTGTGTTATACGAGTAAGTGACTTCGTCTCTGGCCAAATCTGTCGTAAACTCAACATCAACTCCAGGAGGTCAAAGCGATCAAAGGTGGACTGCCACCTCTAAGAGATAGTTTGGTAAAGAATCCATGTTCCAAGTAGAATGGTATCCTTCCACACCTAAATCACATTATCTAAAACCTCACCTGTATAAGTGCTATCTGAATACTTGTATTTGAAATGAATCAAAACTACAGAAATTAAGGTTAAAAATAGGTTCACAGTTCTTAAGAAATAGTTCCAGAAGCTGCTCTCATTATCGTTTTCAAAGAACAGCTGATTTTCATACAGTATCAACCCAACAGTGAACACAGCCAACGCGAATAAAGAATAGTCTATGAAGTGTCGTCTCCGGTTCTTTTTCTGGTTCTTTGCTCCATACAGGGCAGTACGGGATAAGTTCTTCGGAATTGCTATTCTCTGCCCTATAAAACTCAAAAAGCCAAGTTACTTGACTCTACAAAGACCTTTTCTCTCTGAAGGATTTCTATATCTCTTCTGCTGAGCCCTGTGTTCTCCTTGGTTCGAAGAGAGCGGAGGACTTTCCCGAAGTCAGACATTTTTTAAATAAATTTCAATAATTTTAGCCATAATAGGGGTTTTGGGGTTTTGGGGTTTTGGGGTTTTGGGG